CAATAATTATGGTCCGGTATTGTGCCCGGTACATGCACTTGAAAGCCTGTTGCAGAATAAAATTTTATTATTGAAACAATTAGCCCACAACAGATTCTGCACAGTTAGCTTGATCTACGTACAGTACACATTGGAAACATTAATATGGAAATATTTTTTATTACTGTATTAACAACTTCTCAGCATCTTCTCCCTGTCTTATCACATCCCCGCAAAGGAATTCAAAATCATCAGGTGACATTTCGTACCTTGTTGTCTCACCCTTTAGGAATGCAACACATGCCTTATTACGTAATTCTCTAATATCAGGGTCATTTTTTAACTTTGCACATCCGTGGCAATGAGTACTTCCTCTAGCTTGGTACTCAGATCGATACCAGTGCCACTCAGCATCCAAGACGCCATTAAGCCAATGTCTGACAAACTCCTGCAGCCGCTGCATAAAGAACCAATCAGTCAGATGGGGATTGTCGATTACAGCTTGTGCTCGCTCAGATCTGCTTGCACCTTCATCATTCTGCAACAGCCTCTGTAAGTCTGGCCAATACATGTCAGCTGCACTAAAAGTAAACAAAAAAGTAGGGCAGCCTTTTTGTTCAATCAGGGCCAGCAATTCCTGCAGCCGCTGATACCAATACTGATTCGTACCTTGTACTTTGGACACATAGCGCTGCAACCTATTGACCATTTGATTTGCACTCATGGAATTGACCATCTGTTTCTTCAGTTCTTCCATTGTCATGTTTGCATCAGCAGCATGTTGACGCAAGTAAACGTTTGCTTGTGACAACAGCTGATGTCGTTGTTTCATGTTTAACGCCCAATAAGGAAACCGAGGGTGAGAAGCAAACCTCCATTCAAACTTACCATCTGCAAGCCTCTCTGCAAACTTCATTAAATGTTTGAAAGCTTCGGTTAACGTTATACCATGTTGTCTTGCCCTATTTGTTGGGTCACCCTTCCCATAAGGAAACAATGTAGGAAAGGCCATAGTAGCTAAACCATCTGTTTTAAATCCATTAATGGGATTACCTTCAGTAGAAGGCCAGTCTAACGGATCAACCTCATTTACTGCATCTTGGATATCCGCACCTTCTTTTCTCTGTCTTCGACGCATAGGAATAAACGATGTACTGCCACTTCCTAAAACTAACTCTTCCACACTTGCATTAGCACTCATTACTGGGTCTTGGGGAGGCCCCTCATTTTCAACATGAACTGAAAGCTTATTTTCATCAATGACATACTTTAGCTCATCAGGAATACCATTTTCTGGTAAACTCTGGATGACATCTCTATCAATTTCAATACTTTTAAAGAACGGATTGTTTGTCTTTAACCATAGTACAGCCTAAAGAACTTTGTGTCGACGCACAGTAAAGTCTCGATGTGTGTGTTCTGCACCATGTCTTCGCACAATCAAGACAGGCAAGTCTGCCACACGAGAAGGCAACCTATTCAAGAAACTTTAAATATCTTGTGGTAAGTTAAGTACATGTCCTTTATACCCCCTCTGACCCCCATGTTTTCTATACACTCTCATAATGGGACAAATCCTTGAAATTAACATTTATTCTACCTGTGTCAAACCTCTCAATTGTTCAGGAGCTATTCCTGGGTCCATGTCATTCTCCGCACTGAATTTCTTGGGTGATTTCTTGTCTCTTTTACACCGGTAACAAATGTATACTTCTGATGCTACGTTCGGTCGTGTCGGCCAACCTTCTTTACACATTGTACATTGTCGATGCTCTAAATGTTCTTGATCTAAATGAAAACTGTGCATTTCATTTTGTACAAACTCTAGCTCATGCAGAGGGTTGTCAACATTTTGCCAACCACCCTCATGTAAATATTCATTTCTGCTCACCCCTGCCCCCTCTGCTTCATGTACAGACTCATTATCCTTGTCTGCTTCAAGAACAGATATATCTACAGTTGGATCAACAGACACACTCAACTGCTCATCTGATTTTTGGTCATTTTCATTTGAACTTGCTTTGTGAAAAACTGCTCGTAGTATTTCAAGTACTCTTGCTCGTTCATCAACTGTTTCGGTTGCTTGGTCTTGCTTTCTCTTTTGTAGCCTGTTTGTTCGTTCTTCTTCAGTCTCATTTTGCATTTTATCTAAATCATACACTCTCACCTTTAGCTTCTGGAGTCCTTTCTTGCCACGCTTCTCTTCGTTTTGCCAAGCGAGCTTCTCTTTCCTCGCTACTTTCTGCAGCTTCTTTCTGTTCCCTAAAGACTCTCTTATATTCCGTTTGCTTACCTTTTGCTCCAGCAGTCTTTTTTTTCCATGATTCTCTGCGCTTTCCCAGGCGAGTTTTTCTTTCCTCAACAGTCTCCTCTAGCATACGTTGTCGTCTTCGCTCCCTTCTTTTCGCTAGGCGTTCGCCTTTCTTGTCCTTTTCTTGCTGCACGTTATGTGGCTCCATATCTTTTTATTGGTATTTGATACCGTGATTGTTTGAATAAAGTTTTAATAAAACTAATTGCTTTTAAAGCTGCCAAATGTTTTTGCAAATGTACAAAAAACTGTAGCGCAAAAAGCAAAATATTTTCAAGAAGTGTCTGTTAGTTAAAGTCGTCATTCGTCATACACAACAAATTTTAAATTTGACCAATCGGTGTTCGCTATTCATGACAGTCCGCCATATTTTTGAGATCAGTGAGGATGACCCCCCACGCACAGTTACCCACGCCCGCGATATTTGATGAACTTCTGACTTCCCTAATGCTTTCGTTTCCCCGGGTGTAAATAGCCGGGGGGAATTAATACCCTCGAACGGCGCTTTGCGCCGCCGGCTCGGGGATTAATTGCATAGGATTCTCATTTAATATTTTCACTGAAAATTTCTATGACGATGAAAATATTGTTCTTTCGAACATGTTATATTTTTTGTTCTTTCGAACATCATATAACAAAGGCAAGAATTGAAATCTGTTTGAACTTTTGACTACTACAATATCGCCACTGTTGTTGTCAGAGTATATGACTATTGCGAACACTGTCACTATAGTTTAAAACGTTACATTATTTATCAATTTGCAGGTAACAAAGGAAGAAATCGCCATTGTTTGACTTAGTTGTTACGTGATTCACTTGAGTCAAGACAATAAAAATTGCGATACTCTTGTAATTACGCAACTAAATGGATGAAAGCACTTTGTTTTGGTGTAAGGCAGAAATTTGTAACTGCGTTACTGATTCAATTACATTAACGTTGTATCTCACAGAGGAAAATCTGTGCTGTAGGACACAAGTGGTAGTTTTGTCCTGAAGTTACTGATTGGAAAGAGAACTACTTAATTATGAAAACTTGTTAAAAACTGCAATCTCGATGTAAACAATCTGAAAAAACTGAAGTTATGATTACAATTATCATCAAAATGAAAAAAAGAAACTTTCTTACCATGCATGGCAATTATTCTCTGCTCACTATCGCACAATAAATTGCTCCATTTCGAGCATAACAATCCCCGAGCCACGAGCGGAGGGCGTACGGCGAAGCCCGTGGTGATGATGGTTTTCCGCTTGGCAATTTACACCAGTGGATGAGTAATAAGTTCAAAAATTTCAAAGAACGAGTAATAAGTTGAAGAGTTTTTCGGCAAAACCTGTTAATTTTAATTAGTATAATTACATAGGTGATTATTGAAAATTCTCCACGCTGATTGGTTGCTGTTGAGGTGATTATTACGCGATAATCACCTAAGCGATTTTCAAAATGGCGGCCGAAGCCGTTTTGTCAATGTTTTTCTACATAATCACCTATGAAATTATACTAAAACAATTGTTCACCTCAGGCTCGGTGATTATCGTAAATAAAAACCTCGACTTCGTCTCGATTTTTATTCACCGATAATCACCTCGCCTTCGGCGAATAATTGTTAATTAACGTATAAAAAGTTTAATTTAACGGCGAAGCATTTCTTGTTGAATTATATACATTTCAATAACGCCCAACCAAAGGAAAATAACATACCTATACTTTATATATGTTAGAAATAGATGGTCTGCGATGGATAGCCTATGGTTGTATACCAAGTGGAATTAGCACCCTTTATTTTTTTCATTTTCACACGGATTATCAGAATGACATTCTAACAATACATGAATCATGTTACAGTATGCAACAGAGGATTTCGTGCAACTATATGTTCAGGATTTCCGACATATAGTTGACTTCAGTTTGCGAGATTTATTTAGATTTAAACTTTTAACTTTTAACTGCTTGGAAAAGCATCAATGCAAAAATATCATGATATCACACTGTTCAAATAAAAATAACGATTTTACCTGAACAATGTACTCCATCACCATCAAAACCAATATTACATCTACACGTAAATGAACCTGGCGAATCTTGACATCCTGCAATTGGGCTACATGGATTTTTTGACAAGTATTGATACCTGAAATAATTACAAGAGATACAGATTCATTTTTCTATCCGATCGCGATTCAAATCTTTTTATATAGAACACAACATTCGCCGTACAATGCACTGCTCATAATGTACATACTAAAACCCCTGTCCCATAAATTAACAAACTCATTTCCAACACAGTCTATGCTATACCCGAATATGCCTAAACGAAGGAGGGTCATTCAAAATACGTCGAAAATTTCATTACCACAATTGGTAAATTCGAAAATCAAAACGACGTCTTGATAATAGATCTTTCAAGATAAGACGTTTTGTGACTAAATACCAACCGATGGAATCGATAAATTAAGTAACTTAACCGTGATTTAAAATATTTATTTTAGTTACTTTTGATCATTAACAATATATACAAAAAAAATATATATTTCTAAAACTCAAGTAGAAATTTAAATACCTGATGTTGTCGCTATTGCTCTGACTGTTGTATAGGTAACATTTATATAAGTGTCACTGTTGTTGCATTTTCGGTCAATCTTAATGGGGTGGTTGGAGTTGTTCTTGAGGCCAGTGTTACTGTTGTGTATCCTGGATTAATCGGCGTTGTTGATGTCGTACTCCGTGCGGAGATCGATGTCTGTTACTAAGGTCGATGTCGTTGTCGTGTCCGCTCCAGCAATCGACGTTGTTTTTGTGCTCGCGGTAGACGCTGTTGTTGTTGTATTCGGCGCGGAGGTCGCGATTGTTGCTGTGTTCGTTGTTGAAGTGAGTGTTGTTGTCATCTTCACTCCTGAGGTCGCCGTTACTGCTGTGCTCGCCGCTGACATTGGTGTTGTTGTTGTTGTTGTTGTTGTTGTTGTTGTGTTCGGTGCCGAGGTCGCTGTTGCTGTGTTTATTGCCGAGTTGGGTGTTGTCGTTATCCTCTCTCCTGAGGCCGGCGTTCCTGTTGTGCTCGCCGCTGACGTTGGTGACGTTATTGTTGTTGCTGTGTTTGTTGCGGAATTCGGCGTTGTTGTTATGTTCGTTCCTGAGATTGGCGTTGTTGTTGTTGTTGTTGTTGTTGTTGTTGTTGTTGTTGTTGTTGTTGTTGTTGTTGTTGTTGTTGTTGTTGTTGTTGTTGTTGTTGTTGTTGTTGTTGTTGTTGTTGTTGTTGTTGTTGTTGTGTAAGGTGCGGAGATCTCTGTTGTTGCTGTTTTTGTTGCCAAGTTGGGTGTTGTTGTCATGTTCGATCCTGAGGTTGGCGTTAATGTTCTCCTCGCCGCTGACGTTGGTGTTTGTGTTGTTGTTGTGTTAGCTGCGGAGATCGCTGTTGTTACTGCGTTTATTGCTGAGTTGGGTGTTGTTATTATGTTCGCTCCTGAGGTCGGCGTCACTGTTGTGCTAGCCGCTGACGTAGGTGTTCTTGTTATATTCGAGGTCGGTGTTGCTGATGTTGTTGTGTTCGGTGGGGAGGTCGCTGGTGTTGCTGTGTTTGTTGCTGAGTTGGGTGTTGTTGTTATGTTCCCGAGTTCGGCGTTAATGTTGGGTTATCCGCTGACGTTCCCGTTGTTGTTGATGTTGTGTTCGGTACGGAGGTCGGTGTTGTTGCCGTGTTCGCCGTTTCACCCGTTATTGTTGTTATTGTGTTCGCGGCAGAGGTCCGTGCAGTTGTTGTGTTCGCTGCTAAGGGCGGTGTCACTGTTGTGTTTGTTGCTGAGATCGGTGTTGTTCTTGCTACAAATTTATTACAAAGAAAAGCGAATTAATCGAAGAAAAGCTTAAATCTGTAGCCAGATTTAAGTTTAATAAATTTAAAACCAGAGGAAATCGGCTTTAGCGGGACATGTGTGTGACACCAAACACAAGATTGCGTGGGAAAATTCTAAAATAATTAATTGCTAGAAACAATCGCCATGGTCATAGACGATGCCTAGAAGAATGGCATATAAATATAGTAATCATGCTTTGAATAGGGATGACGGTGCCTATTTTCCAAGGAATACATGCACCTTATTGGCAGATCACGTCATCCCTTGGGTATTTAAGAAGCCACATTGCAACTTAAAATCATCCCAGATGAAGACACTAGACTGGAGTGTCGAAACGTTGAGTCTTGATTACAATTAGCACGCGCGCAGGCCACCGGGGGAAGAATAGTGGGCCTGCAAGGAAGACCCGTTATTTTGCAAAACGCCCCTTCTCATAACACGCCCCATTTGCGCGTCAATTGTAAAAAAAAACAATGACAGCAACCCAAATAGTGACAAACAAACTCGCATTAAAATGTTGCGGGGTTTCCTGAGCTTATTCAGAATAGAGACAATGTCTATTAAAATGGCTGCGTTTTAACTCCAAAGAAGCAAGCAACGCAATCAGTAATTGCCAAATTTGCAAGTGCTCATTTTCAGCTATAATCGGAACAGGCAAATTAGGGCGAATGTCAACAGAAAATCGGTCTCAAACTTCAAATCGTGACGGAAGTCGTGCGAACATACTAGCATTAATGTGTGCTTGACTGTCGCCATTGTTATAAAAAAATTGTCTCATTTATCAGATCGTGTGTGCAATTCTTGTTGGCGGCGGAAAGTACGAAATTTATTTCAGTTATTTCATTTGGTACAGAACTTGACAAAAGATTAAAGCGTTTAGATTTCAGATCGTTACGTTTCAAACGGCAATTTGCGTCTTCTGTTACGCTCATTCAGCGAAGCCCTGCAACTGCCTCTAAATCTTCATCGCCAAAAGCGCTGTTTTCTTCAGTGCAAGAACAGAGTCAACATCAACCAAAAGATAATTTTTTTGAGGAACATATAACGTATCAAGTCTGTTTGAAATTAATAAAATTACCCCAGTTGTAATGTTGCTATTCCAACACTTCACAACAAGAAATCCCCATTAGAATGACGGCAAAAACATCTCTTCCTTCAAGTAAACAATAAACAGTCTGTTCTTGTTCCATTTTTAATTGAAAATAGTGATCAAATCCAATTTTAAAAGATTATTGGGAGCGTTTGTGATGAATCATTGATCTAATTGTCAAATCGAACAGCAAACAGCCAATCAAAATGCTGCGTTCGTGGGCGAACACGCAGGCACGTCGCGAAGCCATCAACATGGGGGGGGGGGGGGGGGGGG